ATAATACAGCTTCCTTCTTTCCACTATATTTCAAGTATTTGATGACCTGTGGATAGATGGCGCACCCTACTGTGACCCGTGAGAAGATTCCTCTACAAATGATTATCGCTTCTTTAGATGTAAGATAAATAATTAGTTTTCTCTCCGCCACTTGTAATTTCTAGTTTCATGTTGTCTGTGAATAGACCATACAAAATAATCAATATTATGGATATTATGTATTATTATTGCAACGTACAAAAAAAGATAAGCTAAATTAAGGCATGTTTTTGAACTAAGAACGGGTGTTCGGGCAAAGGATCTATCCAAAATCCTTGAACTCCAATGTTGATTCAATCGGTAAACTTCCAGATTTATTTTGCTTGTATTTACTATTTTGAGTAGTTTTTTTTTCCGGTTTATAGCGTCATTCGCCTTCCGATTCCCAGTCTCCAGCCCCTTCTGTCTTCCCAATCTCCTGGATTTAACTCCCGCGCCGACATGGCTCTTTGTATTCCTCCGAACCATGTTGCTTTAGGTCTTCCTCGTTTCCTTCTTTCATTACTAGTTTAGGAAGCCGTTCATCATTCATTCCTTCTATGTGACCATACCATGTCAGTTGTCTTTCTTTATTTCGTTTATTATTGTTTTTTCTACTTACATGCTTTCTCTTATTCTTTCGTTTGTTATTCTTTGCATTCTCGATTTTCCTGCAGATCTTCTCCAAAAGTCCATTTCGAGTGACATGAGTCGTCTTTCTAGGTTTTTTGTTAATTGCCACGTTTCGCATCCATAGGTATAAGATTTTGCGACTCGCTGCGAAGTAATATGCGCATTAATTATTCTTACTTAGGTCCACAAAAACTCGTCGTGACTCACGCTGCCTCACGTCACCGAACTGGGTCTCATTTTGCGCCGGGCCCTAACCGCGGTTTCGCGGTTACGCTTAGTTTAAAAATGACAGATCACTTGATGACATCATTTCATTGAATTCGCTTGAAGGGGGTGGGACCCTAAAATGAAAGTTTTAGTGCAGAAAATCTGAAACCGCATTTTGCTACGATGAACCGTTTTCAAGTTAGGTCGGTTTAAACGGGCGAATGCCTAGGCTGTGACGTCACACCGGCTTCAGAGGCACAGTTGAAACACGTGTAAAATTTTCCAAAACAGAAGTCAACGATCTCACTTAGAGCGAATTGCAACCACTTAATGTAGGTATAGGGCACGGTTCACTGACGACTGAACAAACAGAAGGCTGGGATTTCGGCAGTTAACGGGTGTGACGTCTCAAGTTTTCCCAAAATTTATCTTCATGAGGGATTTTCTCGGATACTATTTCAAACATAAGGCTGCGGTTTTCACAAGAGATCTTAGAGTTTTTTTCTTGATTTCAGTACCTAGCTCAAATTGTTTTTTTTTTTTTTGGTTCACACCCCGTTTAAACGCGTTTGGTATTAACCGCAGTTATTTTCCTGTGTTGTGTATTTGTTCATCCTTTATTTTTGTTGTTATGCCGGCCGGGAATACTCAGGGGTCCGTGTTCATGGTGATTTCTGCGAGAAAATAGTTCCTAAAACTTTTCAAATAAATTTTTTAAAAAAGTCCTCTTATTGTGCTTTCGACTCTTGAGTAGTATTGATGTAGGATTGGGTTGTTGTGAGTGTTTTATTTTGTCTTTTGTACCTTCAAGTTGAACCGTTGTACCTACCTTTACCCACTGTATTGTCTGTATTCTCTCCAAGTCTTGTCTTGGGTTGTGCTGGAAAATGGAAAATAGAAAAAAAAAAACTTTTTCGTTTTTTTTTTAATGTGCATTTAGTTGTTTTTTTTTTACAGAAAGGACATGATACTCCAATCTATTGAAACAGTGGAAACTGAAATAGATTCCTGGCTAATAAGTTATAGCAATGAAGCAGTCTAAAGTTTTTCCAACAATTCCGGTTAAAAAAGAATCGGAAGTATCCATAATTTTTGCCTTAGCATTTTATTTCACAGTGGACAATTAACTAACAACAATGCGAAAAAAATAAAACAGAACAAGCTTGTGAAACGCAGCTTGCATCTATAGCAAACAAACATCTATAATTTAAATCTAATAAACACATAAAAGTAGGTACCTATTTGCTTTTCTGCGCGTCTTCTGTTTCTCACAGTGGCGTAGATAGCTTTTCACCCTGGGGGGGGGGGGGGGGGGGGTTCAGGTCCAGGTCCAGTGGTGCAGGCAAATTCGCCAAAGGCAAACATTTGTGACAGGACAGGTAAATAAAATAGCGGCAATTTGACCAACCAAGACTAATTTAGTGAAAATACATTATCTTCTCCAAAATTTCCATTGTTCCCGAATTTTTAAATTTAAATAAAGTTCATATCCCTGATTTTGGAACGGTAAGATTCATAAAAAAATATAAAATTAAAGTTTTTGTTTTGATTAATTACAATTGGGTCTAGTGAAATAATTATATGGAATTTATTCTTTAATTCCAGGGCTCTGAAACTAAAGACATTTGTGAATTGAAATTTAATTAGTAATATTAATATCTACCTCTGACATCGTATTCCTAAGGTACGTTTTGATCCGTTTCAAGGTAGAAAACGAACGTTCTGACGAAGTTGAAAGGAAGAGTAGCAAGAATCTTGTAGAGAATATACATATTGGGGAAGATGTTCGGGTTACAGATAGCTAATGCTGCCATTGCATTATTTGGAATATTGTCTTCTTTAGTTTACCAAACCACATTTTCCTTTCAGCTAATATTATTTCTGCGTTGTCAGGAAGGTTCTCTAAATAAGTATTGAGTAAATTTTCAAAGTTCTACTGCTTCTCTTCTTCAGAAGCCAAGTCGCTCTTGATTGAGGGAAAAAGATACTCGAATCCTAACAAAATTCCCTTATGGTCGATAAACCTTTTTTCTAGTTCGTTTATGAACCGATCAATATATGGAACAAACACGGTAACCCTATAGAAATCTCCGGGGGTTTTTGAGCTTGTCCAACACTGCCTAAACAATTTCGTATTTCGAGAACCTCGCTAGATTTTGAAACTGCCAAGTTGACACTATGTGCAGCGCAATGTACATACAGTGCAGTTCGATGTTCGATGAGCCTGAACCCGATAAATTTTCCAGACATTGCAGCTGCACTATCGTAACCTTATCCTTTCAAAAAACTAGTATTGATTCCACAACTACGCAGATTTTCCAATATAATATTTGCCAGACCTCTGCCTGTAACGTCTGCAGTCTCAACAAATTGCAAAAAATGTTCTTTAATCTTCATGGATGTCATATCAACATATCTGACACACAATGATACTTGTTCCACTCCTGCAACATCTGCTGTCTCATCGGCTAACAATCTGCACGTTTTTCTAACGTATTATTCTCATTGTCAAATTCAAACGTAGTAGATGTAGAAATATTTGAAGATGATGCCCGGGAGTTTATCTCGATATTCTCGATGAAGGCAGGGGTGGAAAAGTTGGAACATGATAATAATGATTCCGTTGACCGAGAAGAGTGACCTTCATCAACATTAAGTTTTGCCTTTTTCCGGATTTCCTGCTGTGCTGAAGCTGACGTTGATTTAAGAAAATAATGGTCGAGGGTTTGTAGCTTGCTACGTTTTGACATATTGGAAAAAGTGTGCTGGTTAGTGTAAACTGCGTAGATGTTCTGATGACTGATGCTGATGATCACAAATCTAACACCAAATAAATCCCAAATTACTATACATTCTATGTACGATACCTACATTTTTCTGCCACATAAGAAGAGAATAACTTTGTTTTATTATAACGATTTAACTCGTTGTGATAAAATAAAATAAGTACTTAATAAGTATTATATTAGTACCTATACAATTCAGAAAAAAGAAGCTATAGTAGTAATTTGTGAAGAAGTGGTCTTTCCGCTATATAATATGTTATTTAAAAAAATCATCAATCAGCATTCACGAAATTCGTATTCAGTATTGTAAACGTTAAAATAAGTTACAAAATAACAGACTACCACTACTACAGGAACGCACCAATCGGCATCACATACGCCATTCGCCAGAGAGGTGGCAACCTAGTCCTGTGGTCGTATTTTCGAATTCATTCGAGTACATTTCGTATACGAAATACGGGAGCATTCGAAATCGTATCAAATTTCGTATGCGAGAATATTCAAAAATACGACCCCTGGGAACAGTGGCAGCTGGCAAGGTTCAAGGTGGTTCAAGCGCTAGCGCCAAATATTGGTCGCGTTCACCAGCACTCCAACATGTTGAGTGATTGGTAAACGGCTTTGTTCAAACAAGTGGAATACACAAGGTAGAACAGTTTTGATTAGCCTAGAGCTGATTTTCATCGGTTTTCAACAAAGCCCCTCACTAATCATTCAACATATTGAGCGCTGGTGAACGCGACTATTGTAATGTCGATTGCCCGTTTATAAAGCAAACCGATTGAGATGTCATGTAAATCGGTTCGCTCCATAATCGCGCAATCATACACACGTGTATTTGCATCTTTTTCAAACACCCACTGAAGGACATAGATTGAAATATATATCTACCTACCTATTTTTTGCACTTAATCTACCAATCGAATTAATCGAAAACGCAAATAGTGTTGAGCACGATACATCAATGTTCAGAAAACATCGATATCGAGATTTAGATTTCGATATTGAAATGAGGAGATGAAAATAAACTTTATTACATATTTAATTTTTTTTTCTCTCTCTCTCTGGGACTGGGGCTGGGGGGGTCCAGACCCCCTGTACCCCCTCCCGTATCTACGCCACTGGTTTAAAGTATTCTTCTCCCAGCTATCATCTAGGAAGGTCAAAATAAGAATTTGTTTTTGAGTTTCTAGAGTTTTAATTTGGAACCTCTTTGGTTCTACCTATATGAATTCTCAATGAAAATATTAAACCCACAAAGTTTTACAGAAAGCATTAGTTGTAAAGTAAATAAATAAATAAATAAATACTAAATATCAAATACAATATAATAAATATTGGTGAGGAGACAAACATAATAAATATTCCAAGAGGGAACAATTTATACAATTTAATTATTCACTGAAAGTTCAAATCTCAGTTCAAATTTATTGCTGTTCCTGTACTCAAAGACAAGCCAAATTTCGGAGGTTTAATGCAGATCTGAATTCAAAGGAATAATAGAAAATTTAACAACAGAGATTGTAAATAATAATCGTCTTTCTTCACAAAAAGTTGTTATAACAGATGCTAAATGTAATCATTTTGAGTAGTTACAATATACTAAAACTAAAATATTTGAGGAAATATTCATTAAAAATTGTGTGAAAAGTCTAAATTGGTTTGTCCTACAAACAACTTAAAATAACATTTCATGGTGGTGGTGCCCTCGTATTCCAGATGCTAGTATATTCAAGTGTTTCTCAAACATTTTCAGCCGTTTTTGAGAATTTTTCGTGAAAGCCCGAAGGAGATAAATCAATAAAGTTCAGCATCGTTACTAGCTTTACGAGGAGGTGCTGTTAGCCGATACAATTTCACTTTCCGAAGGACCAGCTTGACTTGTAGTTTCGTTATTTTTGTCTACTGTCTCTGGTGACTCGCCGAAAGCTAGACCAAATAGATTGCCCAGAAATTCTAGACCTTGTTCGGCTGTTTCGTTAACAACCGTTAGTAAGTCTCCAGTGATGATTTGGGATTCGGTCCTGAAACAATAAATGATCCATATTAATAAGTCTATTAAAGTGTTAATAATTGTACTAAGATTTTTGTTCAAGGAAAATTATTTTAGACTTCCTAATGTAATAGGGACATTAAAATACAATGTACACAATTAATTATTGACTACCTTTAATGATTAAGGAATGCACCTAGGTATATTATACTTCACTTCCATAATTAAGAAGTGTTTATAATAATAATACAAATAGGAAAATAGAAGCATCGAATTAGGTATGGAAGACCAATAAAATGAGACAAAGGTGTTTAACTATCTGTATGCAATTTTCAAAATTATCTTTTAACAAAGTTCTGTCGCCATTTCAACCACTGAAGCAGAAATCATAGCGTTAAGTTGTAGTATTAGTGGGGCCTGTTGGCCAAGAAATTTGTTGTTAGAGTTAGAATTAGTTGAAGAGTTGAAAGTTATCATTTATTAGGATAATCAGTCTGCTATTTGTTCTTGCAGTTCTCATAAACAATTGAAAATAATCAAACACTTGGACATTAAATATCATTTTGCAAAAGAAAAAATTGTCGATGGAATTATAGAGTTAAAATATATTCCTAACACTGAACAAATTGCAGATATACTTACAAAACCCATTGAATAGAGTAACATTTGAAAAATTGAGAAGCCTTATACCTACTTAATTGAGTATTTGTTGTGTGTTATCATTTTACTTCGAGGCTTAGGTATTTATAAGTTGAGTATCTTATTTTTTTAAAATTATTTTATTATTATTGCCATGAAAATTTTGATTGAGTGGGAATGTAGTTGTAGCCATCAAAATTATGTTGGTACAGTTTGTGTCGAAGGTTGACAACACTGTGACACTTTGTTGGAGAATGACTTTACGACATATTAAAAGTCGATGAGTTGTCAGTAGTCTGCCACAAAAGTACGTAGAAGTCTAATTTATGCTCCTTAATAATTTCAACAACTATATTAATTATAAGTTCTTTTTCACTATCTGTGTTTCATTACTACTACCAACAGTTTAATGAGAATAATGCATGACCTTGAGAACAATATTTCATTGAAATGAATAACCATATTTTGTTTAAACGCCCAAGTTTTCTAATTTAAAGTAAGTACCAGATGCTCTCATCACTATCAGAAAAAAAAATGTTTTTTTTCATTATTTCGATTTGCTCCTAAATCGTTCTGTTCCTGCCTGTTATTACCGTTTATCACATTTTTCACTCTATATATCTTTGCAGTCTACGTTCTCGCAAGGCATACTTTATTATTGCGTATTCCATAAACACGAACATCCATCCCTCTTGGAGTAATCTTCACAGCATAAGTGAATATAAGTAATAATAATTATTGTTGATACAAATTTGAAATGTTAACACAAGCATGTAGTTTTGTGGCGGTTAGTATCAATGTTAAAAATAATGTTATAAGATATTGTTTTGTAAACATAATGAAAAATGAATCAATCAAATTCATAAAATATAAATCAAATAGGTACCTCTGGTTATAGGTATGGTAGTGACCAGGTATTGCAAGCTTCCAAGAAAGAAAGGGAACCAAAATTGGATTAAAGGCAAACCGTAAGATAAATAACTTATTAAAACATGATCTATTTGATTTATTTTTTTAGGAATTTGAGTGATTCTGTAATTACCTACCATAAAATAGAAGAATTGAAATAAAGCAATTCAGAACACTTCAAGTAGTTCACCATTTAAAAATATCAATTTTTATTTGTTCCCTACAATCAATTAGGGAAAATTATTTTTATTATGCTTTATAAGGCTCATTATCCGAATCTGGACCAAAAAATGCGTCAGTTTTGAGCCCCGAAAAAATCTTGCTGCAAAATTTATCACAAGTTTTATCAATTGCTAAAGACTAGCTTCCAGTATTTATATTTCTCTGAAAAGTACTGTTTATGCTGTTTATTTTAATTATATAGATTCAAGCCAGTCATAGACCATAGTGGCAAGTAGCCACAATTTCTGGAGACCTATAATAACTTCATGGTAGAAATATAATATATGCAACAAGAAAGGAATATCACTAACAATACTCGGCGTAGTACCTATACACAATTCTTGACGGTGTTGGGTTTTTGGTACATCGAGGTTAACACGTTCCCTGCCAACGTGTTATGAAGGATTTGGTAACCCTGCGCCAAGATGGGCTCAGTAGACCTGCCCCCCCCCCCCCCCCCCCCCCCCAGTTGATAATTTTTATCCAAAACGCTAGCCCTCGTTCTCCAGAGCTAGCGTAACCTAGCGCAACTTTTTCGAAAGCTAGCGCAGCTACAGGTCAAAAGATATGTGGCTTTATATTCGGGGGGGGGGGGGGGGGGGGGGCTAGGGTGACGCTAGCCCCCCCCAGTTATTCGATTTTCTCAAAAATGCTGGCGCACATTCGTAACACCTAGCGCAGCCTAGCGCAAGTTGTGTCATAGTTAGCGCAGCTATCGTAGCTGTCATACAGGGTGGACAAAAAAAATCATGAGCCCCTACAAGTGATTTTTAATTTTTCAAAAATATATGTGAAGCTTCCTTAAAGCTAGCGCAGGTAAAATTCGAGCAACCGCATTATCCCTTTAAAACATACACACATACAGGTATTTATTCGGGAGGCGGCTAGAGTGCCGCTAGCCCCCCCCCCCCCCCCCCCCCAGTTGTTACCCTGATAACACAGGATTTTCCTGGGATATCCTACCAATGTACTATGAAAGTATGAATGTCCCGTACCTTGATAATACATTCCCAGAATGTTTCAGATAGAATATTACTGGAATATTTAGATGCAATATTCAAGGAACATCCCTCAAATATTCCTGTTTCTTAAAAATATTTTTTTTTTCAAATTTGATTTTCTTTGTTTTGTGATTTCTTATTTATAATTTTCAGGTTGCAGCATGTAAAGAGAAAAAACTTTTAAAAAAAATCCCACTGCCAGATTCAGACCAACTACAGGACCAACGACCCAACTGCGCTTCGTCAGTTCGTCTGTCAACCAGTGTTGATCATGACGATACCCATTTTTGACGTTATCAGATTTCTTTGGATGATTTTATTCCACATAAATATGATGAAATATACCTAGTAATTTTATAAGTTTTCGAATCTTATATGTAATGTTTGTATATACAATGATTAGGTTGTATATTTTTTCATATTGGCGATATTTGAATCGTTACACAAAAATAATATACGTGACAACTGGCAACGTCGAACAAAAGCCGCACGTCACAAGTCACGGCACCTCCCTTCATATTCATCGCAGACAACCTAACCTTAATCTGAAAAAACAAGTCAGCAAATTTTATTGTTTGTTATTAATTTAGTTTTGTTTTAATCACAAAATAATCGTTTTATCGGTGGTCGGTTTTGAACAATAAAACGTTCGGTGCTTGGTTTGCTCGTGTTTTTATATGGTTTTTCGTAGATTTTTCCACGAATTTCCCACATAATTTTTCACTGGCTCTTCTAATTTTCGAGGTTTCGTTACCTTTTGCATTTTTGTGTTACGTAAGTACTACGTGCAGCCTGTTCAGTAATTTATTCAGGAAGTTTTTAGAGTGCTCACAGTGCTGAATATGGATTCTACAGGAAAAAAAGGTTGTTGAGCAACTAATTATTGTCAAAGGAAAAACAATCAAGTGATTCGGAACCTGATCTACAAGATGAGCATTAGAACCCGAGGCAGCATCCTTTCTGTAGTTCTACGCTCGTTTCTATGACTGAGAGGGCATTTTACTTGGCTACTTAAGATTCTATGAAGATTTTAATCAGATACCTTCTACCGTTCTACCTGAACAAAGTATCAGCACGCATTATTAGACTCTTCAGAAAATGGAACTTTCTAGGAAACTGTTGATGCAAGTGTTGGATGTCAATTTACAACTTATAATTTGAGTAATGGCTATTTGCACGGCTATCACTTAAGGGATATTTAATCTAAGTGGAGCTTTGAATATGACTTTTGTTTCCACAATAATCACATTCAAAGCTCCACTGGGATAAAATATCTCTTAAGTTGTAGCAGTGCCAATAGCCGTAATACCTATAATTAATAAACCAAAACAAAAGTATATCCCACTAGTTTATTTGTGGGATGTTCTGTGCATGTTCCTCCTATATCCCACAAAAATCCCTAATATACTTTGTGGGATGATTGAAGATATTCCAGGAATGATTTGATAGAACATTCCTAGAACATCCATTTTGATGACAAAAGCGTCTGCTGGAATGTTCCAGGAATGTTCCAGGATCTAAACAGAATCTTCCAGGAATATTCTGATTGTCCCAATTAAATATTCTTTGAACATTCCTGGGATGTCTCTGTGTTATTAGGGTAAATCCTTTCCAAAATGCTAGCGGAAGTTCTTGACACTTAGCGTAAGTTGTGTCGTAACTAGCGCAGCTATAGTAAGTAAATGTTATACAGGGTGAACTATGAAATCTTACAAAATGTCACCAGCTCCAAGACAAGATTTAACGTTTACAATCGCTATCTATTCGCGAAGTTATACTTTTTACTTTATAGTCGGGCCGGAATCAGAACAAATCAGAAAACAGAAAACAGTGAAATTCCGCGAAGTTATACTTTTTACTTTATAGTCGGGCCGGAATCAGAACAAATCAGAAAACAGAAAACAGTGAAATTCAAACCTAATATGAGAAACACATACATGCCACCGCCTGGGATCACTAAATGCATTCAATCAACCTAATTCTTAATTGGTGATAAAAAAAAGTACTAGCTCTTGCTTCACAAACCTGACAAACCCCACCGCCACCACCGCTAAAAATGTCGACAATATTCAGTATCGATATATCGACGAACTAAATATCGATATGTCGTTGCCATCCCTAAACTCACTACAGTGACAATAAACCTAACACAGTGGCGACAATAGAGGTCCCGCCGCCAGTTTGTGGCTTTCCTCTTGCTAATTTAAAATACGAATATATAGGATTTAAATGGACATTTTTATCATACAAAATTGAAAAC